AAAAATGATGTATATTAAGAGTTGCAAATGATAAACATTATTTAACTTTGCAAAAAACATTCAGAGAAATCACACAAAAAATCTACGCTAGCTGTTAAAAGAGAGTCATTTGTTCCTTTTAAACATTAACCATAAAATTACATCATTTTTACTATAATTATATTAACTAAAAAATATTGTTATTTTGCAGATTTTTTGCATTATTTGTCAGAAAAAAAAAGTCTACATTAGAGATTAAAACTGGTCTGTTATCTTATAGATTTTCCCTGCTTTGCAAAGTTGTAGATAATATCCCGTAAAATCACAGAAAAAAATCTGAATGTCCATGTTGACTGCAAGAAAATAGTAATTATAGTGGTCGCAGTAGTGGTGATAAAAGTGACACTATTTTACTGTATTTAAATCAACGGAAATATAGTTATTTTGCTGATCTTTACCATTAATAATACAATTTTTAAAAGTTTCTGAATGTCACAAAAATCCTGTTTTCTATGTTTTTTTCCTCCATAGTTTTTACAATTTTTTTCCCCTTTCACTTTACTGTTTGTTTTTTACAGTGTAGGACAGAACCATGAGCACAGCTGCTGCTGCTGATGTTGCACAAACAGCTCGCTGCCTGAAGGCGCTGCTGTCTGGATGTGAGACAGAATTACAATCTGTGTTGTGGTGAGCTTTATGTTTGCATACCTCCACACTGTGGCCTGGTTCTGCCCATTTGCTGGACAAAAAGCAACTGTAACCAGCAGGAGAAATGAAAAAGTGAATCCCATTAACGTCATGAGGAATGTTTTAATTGATACCAATGGAGGTGATGTGAGACAGAAGCAGCAGACAGGCTTCACCTGGCTGGAGCAGGTGGCGAGACACACTGAGGTCAAACCGGGACTGACTGCATAGTTCTGTGCAGAAATCACGTGTGATTACACTCTGGCTCTGGGCCTATATAAATCATACATGAATGAGAGCACACGGCTGAACTCTTTAGAAATGACAACTGAGCCCAAGCGGCAGGCTGTGATCCATCCATCAGAGCCGGCTGCACACTTCTACACCTGGTGACACATCCGAGCTCATCCAACCAGACGCAGAGCCTCTCTGGGTTTAACCTCAGTGATGTTGTTCGTCCCGGTCCAGCCAGTATCAGCTCGTCCTGAGTGCCTGAACTTCAAGCCAGTGCCTGCATTACTGCTGATGCTGCACCAGGCCGCCTGTCCACTCCACAGGTGCCTTACCCGATGAACATGCAACATTGAGGAGACGTGTCAGCAAAGACAGTCTGACCAGAGCCTTCAGCATCTCAGAGTGAATCTCATCCACACCTGGGGCTTTGTCACTGATGAGTTTCTTGACTCTCTCGACAACCTCTACCATGAATATGTAAGAAGATTCCCCCGAGTCTTCAGGCTCGGCCTCCTCAGCAGAGGACGAGTTCAACGAGTTCAGGAGTTCTTTAAAGTGCTCTTTCCACCACTCGACAGTGTCCCCAGACCACGTCAGCAGTTCTACCTCCCGGCTGTACACGGCCTGGGCCAAGCCCTGCCTCCCGTTCCTGAACTTCCTTGAAGCCAACCGAAAGTCCTTCTCCATAGCCGGAGTTTTAGCCTCCACAACTGTCGCAGCCACAGCCCTTTTGGCCGACCAGCACCTGAACGCTACTTCAGTCAACAGCCGAGCCAACCAGGCCCAAAAAGCCTCCTTCTTCAGCCCGACATCTTCCTTCACCGCTGGTGTCCACCAGCAGCTTTTTAGGTTGCCACTGCGACAGGCACCAGTGACCTCCTGGCAGCAGCTTCTAACAGTCATTCCTGTAAAGGAGGCTGATGATACGACTACAAAGTTGATCATCAACCTTTGGCCTAAGGTACCAGGTACACTTATGAGCCACCTTTTGCTCCAACATGGTGTTTGTTGTGTCTAATCCATGACTATCACAACAACAGAATACCACTCTGGTTTAGATCAGGCAGGCTGTTCCTCCCATTCACCCTCCTCCAGGTTTCTCCATCGCTGCCAACAGGAGCACTAAAGCCCCCAGGAGAGCTATGGACTGCCCAGGCAGCACCGCTTCCAGGACACCACCCAGAGACTCCTAGAAGGCTGAATACTCCGAACTGCTGTTCAGTGAATAAGCATGAACAACACTCAGAGTTTTCCCCTCTGCAACAGGCAGACGCAGAGAGGCGACCTTCTTATTCTTCACAGAGAACTCCAAAAGAAAATGCATAGTAACAACCGAAAAATGAATTAGCATAGTTTCACCAGAAGTTGTTTGAATTGAAAAAGATTGATGCAAACTGTTGTATTATTGTTTTTGTTGAGGACAAATATCATTTTTTAGAGTGCACACTGTAAAAAAAAGAAAAGAAAAGAAAAGAAATGTCTTCAGTGGTTTCAAACTGGTTTTTACTTTTATCTTACAGATTTTTTCATTTTGTTAAATTGCAGGTAATACTTAACACCAAGAAAAAAAGTATTATTTACATGTTAACTGTAAATACAAACACCAAACGTGTCTATAATGTTTAAAAGACATTTGACCCTAAAAATACAAAATCATATTCATTTATATCAGCTAAAAATATTTGTTTTTTTTAAAAGTGTTTTTCACTATTATTATCATCATCATCATTATTATTTACCTTAATTAATATCTTCAGCGCTTATTTTTGCTTGTGTAACTTTAAAAAGATCATACATTTAGTCTCACCTGTTGATTAATTCAGTCGGATGTTAGTTTAAATATTAGCTTATTAAAATCGTAACAGATCCAGAATCCATGGCTGGATTACAGCATCATTTCACACAAGCAGCAGTTATATTATGTGTCAACTTATTTGTGCTAATTATGCAAATTAATATGATTTAATGTCTTGTTTTGTCAGTTTACACCACTAGAAGACAATATGAAGACACACAAGGACATCTGCTTCATAACTTGATCCTCAAACCAAAATTTTTTTTCTGTGTTAAATTCCAGTTTAATTAAGTCAGTTTTATGCTCAGGCCTATATTTATGTATCTAATAACTGTGCAGCCCTGTGTGTCGTTAGACCGCATGTGGTTTTGATTACATGTTATGGAGCCTATATAAGACGTCGTTGTTTTTCTTTTGGCACCGGCACAAAATGTTGACAGACACATTTGACTGTACATTCAAATGAGGGTTGACATGCTGGGACAGTAGATCTGAAGCTCGTAGACAGCTGCTGCTATGATGTTGCACAAACAGAACGCTGCCTGGAGGCGCTTTTACGTGGATGTGAGGCGAAATTACAATTTGTGTTGTGGTGAGCTTTATGTTTGCATGTCTCGACACTGTGGTGTGTGTGTGTGTGTGTGTGTGTGTAGGTGTGTGTGTGTGTGTGTGTGTGTGTGTGTGTTTGAGAGCATGCCTCCCCTCAGATCGCCGCGCGTATTCGCTGCCAACCCTGCTGCGGTGCAGAAAACCAACGTAACTATAGCAGGGAGTAAAATGCGAGTCCCATTAACTTCATTATGAAACTGTTTTTGCTTTAATTGGCACTAATTTTACTGATGGGAGACAGCCTACATAAAGGAGAAGAAACGCTTCAAGTCCTTCGTGAGCAGACTGCAAAAATGACAAGTAAGAGGAATGCTGCGCTCCATCCAAGCGGATCACTTTTACGCACAATGGAAACGCCGATCTCATCCAAACAGAGCATCACCGGGTTTATGCTCATCGTGTCAGTGATGCTGCTCGTCCCTGTCCGACCAGCATCAGGTCACCCTCAGTGCCTGGACTTCGAGCCACCTTTCAAGCCACAGTGGCACCTGGAGTTCTGCACGCAGTACGAGGACTTTGGCTGCTGCGACCAGAAAACTGACAACACGATCGCGGAGAGGTACTGGGATATCATCGATCAGCTGGAGGTGGGGGGTCAGGAGCTCTGCGCGGACATGCTGAAGGAAATTATGTGTCAGGTAAATATATTTTCCTTTCTGAAAGTCATGCTGTGTGTTTATGGGGTTACTTGAGGATGAAGTCCCAGAATGTTTCACATAAAGCATTTTGGCACTGCGTAAAGGCGCAATGATGAGTTCCTTATGCGTTTTTTTGCAGTCTTTTCACATCTGAAGAAACTTTGATCTATAAGTTTGTGATAAACCAAATAAAGCCGTTGAAAGATATATATCATACTCAACCTATCAACATTCTTTACGCTTTGGCTCTAGTTTAGAAACGAACAGTAAATTCAAGGCTTGTCTCACTACTGGAAAGAAGTTTACCTGAATTTGTTAAAACTGCACGCACAGCTCTGCTCTCATTTAATACAGACTATTACAACTGCAGTGCACAAATCAAATATTAAATGTGATTTGTGATTGACAAACCATTGTTTCATAAAAACAATCATGTTGACAAATTCCAGTGAGGCGCTGATTAGGGGTTTTTCATAATAACTGACAGCAGGATGAGCTTACATATGCAGTTACAATTACCAACGCTGCAGGCAACCAGAGCTTAAGGTGTGTGTTCAAGTGAATTAGATTTCCTATGAAATGTTTGCCTATTCTTGAAACAGTTCCAGGTATAGAGAAGGAGGGAGGTAGTGCAGTTACTCAGAGTCAACGTATGTGTACGCAATTGGATGCTTTCATTCTTGATTTTGTAGCCTAATCATCGGCTGCCCTCTGCCCTCCCTGTCGGACATCCACAACTGTCTCAGCAGGGCCACAAGTATCACACAGGACAGCACTCATCCTGGTTTCCACCTCTTCTTCCCCAAAGCTGTCACTATGCTTAACTTAAAGCTGCACTCTGTCACTTCTATGTATATAAAGTCTACTTCACATGGATGTAATAATAATTACTTCACTCTGTGCAATACCCAACTACCACTCTGCTATGGCAATTGTTTTTTTAAAATTGTGTTTTATAGGGTTGCACAAAGTATTAGAATACATGAAGAGTTCATTTACAAAAACAGATAACTCCATTTTTGTAGATTTTCAGAAAACTTACTTTGTTGTGGTTTGCTTGAGATAATATCAATCATACTAAAGGTGAGTGGATTTAACTCAGTAGAAATGACAAAAATAGAGATAACTGAAGTTTGATTGATGTTGTCTCAGGTAGAAAATAGGAGTAGGAAAAATGGGTTTTCTCAAGGTTTGTGAAGATGGAGTTTTCTGTTTTTGCAAATTAACTTCTTGTATGTCTAGTGGTATATATTGCTGGTGCACCTCAGCAGCAGCTCTTTAAATTTCATTGTAGAATGACAATAAAGACTTTCTACTTCTATTTCTACTTCTATTTCTATTTCTAATGTCAAACGTGTGCACAATGCTGCCATAAAATCTGGTAATCAGTCGTGTTTGTCCCACCCAGGAGTGCTCTCCGTATGCCGCCCACCTCTTTGATGCTGAGGATCCCTACACACCTGTCCGAGAGCTCCCTGGCCTTTGCTCCGGCTACTGCTCCGAGTTTCACAGCAAATGCCGCCATGTGGTTAAATATTTAACAGCCAACCAGCGGCTCCAGGACGCCTCAGAGCGGGACATAACCACGTTCTGCACCATGGTGGACCTGTCCGACCAGGACTACTGCTACCCCAACGTCCTGAAGAGCCCCGGCCTCAACAGCAACCTGGGAGAGGTGGTGGAGGACCCCAGAGGGTGTCTGCAGCTGTGCCTGACTGAGGTGGCCAATGGTCTGAGAAACCCAGTGCTGATGCTGCACAGCAGGGACGACACACACCGGATGTTCATCGCCGAACAGGTTGGCTTCGTCTGGGTTTACCTCCCCGACGGCAGCCGGCTGGAGCAGCCTTTCCTGGACATGAGCGGGGAGGTGATGACCACGCCCTGGCTGGGGGATGAGAGGGGCTTCCTGGGCATGGCCTTCCACCCAAACTACCGGGACAATGGACGCTTCTTCATCTACTACTCCATCCAGTTCAACAGCAAGGTGGAGAAAATCAGAATCAGTGAGATGAAGGTTTCTGCCTCTGACATGAACACGGCTGATCCTTACTCAGAGAGGTAAGAGCGGGGAGGGTCTCCTTAGGTCTTTTTATAGCTTCAAAGTTTGTCTAATGATGTAGGTCTGCACAAACTGCACGATGAAAGGCATACAGGACTATCATTATGGCACCAAACCTTGCATAAGCATGTTCTATAAGTATAGAAATAACCCCCCGTAAGATGAGTCCCTGACACTGCATAGGAAACAAACGTCCTAAGTCATGTAAAGCCCCTCATTATATCTCTTCTGTTCAATGTGCAAAAAAATGATAAATCTAAAAATGACTGCTCCACAAACCAGATATCACATAAAAGACTCAGTTTTACTGTCATTTGCATGAACCAACTGCCTCCAGTCTCATTTGTCATCACCTCTTTCTATAAGAGACATAATCTCACTGTTTAAAGAGCGAGTGACACACACCAAAGCAGTTAAAGAGGTGAAGGATGGATCAAAGTTGGCCTCGGGGTGTGCTTAGGAATCGTGGCAACCAGATAGTTATGTCTGTACAGCAAGAACCACAAAGCGATTGTACTGAACTGCATCCTTTTTGCACTCAGGGTCATTTTAGAGATCGAGGAGCCGGCAGCAAACCACAACGGAGGCCAGCTGCTGTTCGGTCTGGACGAGTATCTGTACATCTTCACTGGAGATGGTGGGAAAGCAGGGGATCCATTTGGGAAGTACGGCAACTCACAAAACAAGTAAGGGGCTTCGGGTTTCGTCACACGTGAGCAGGAGTGGTGAATGAAGCTGAAAGATGTTCCCTTTTTTGTAGGACTAGCCCTGCAGCAATATTAGATAAACTACTGACTGCTTCACTGACAGCTTGGTTTTAAATCAGAAACATTTTAATTAAATACAAGTGTCACACAAATGATTCAAAGTGTTTGGGTCAAACACTTGGGATTTGCAAAAAGTGTATTTTCCCACAATTTATCTGTTACTTTAAGCTAAATGTTTCAACCCACAGCAACTATAAGCAAAGGATGAACACTCAAGCTTCAGTTCAACGCTCACTGTGTAACAGATTCAATACATGCGATGGAGCCGAACGTGCAGCCGTCACAGAAGATGGACAGCATGAATTTGTAAAATCATTAACACGACAGTTGAAAGTCTGTCAAACATGCTGCATAATATAAATCTTAAATTGCAGCTTTTGCTGATTGTATTGTTCCAAACAGTGATTTCTGTTTGAAAATTGGCTAATTGTGCAGCCCGACTACAAACATTTATGCATTAGCCTACATCCAGCTATTGCAACCAATCGAATACCAATCCAACCAATAATATAGATATACTGTATATTTTAATACAGCGCATAACTATTTCAATCATTTACTCACTACATTAGAGATACCGACTCTTATCCTTTACCATTATTACTATTATTTTCAGCTATTTTAGCCTTTGCTTTTAGCTAACTATTACAGTGTGTGCTCACTTAAACTAAGACCATTCATTAAGCCAACTATTCCTGATTATTTAGCAAGTGTTGCTTTTATTGCTTTTAGCAGTTTAACTATTAGCTAGCTCCTTTTAGAAGCTACAACCTTTTATGCATTACTTTAAGCTACCTGTTTGAATTTTTTGTATTCATAACGTACAGCTAACCATGACCAGATATATATTGCGTTAACAATCCATTAAATACTTAAACATTTTACTTATCAAGCCAACTATTCCTTTGGGGTGTTCTAACTATTACTATTGCTAATCATAGCCATATTAGCTAGCTTTCCACTTATCCATTACCTGAAGCAAACGGTTTCAACTGGTCCTTACATTTAGCCACTACTTTTAGCTATTTCAGCCATTTCCATTATTCTAAAAAAAAAAAAAAGTTAGTAATTTGTACAATATAACAACCATTTACTAATTTTTCAGCTGTATTAGCAATACTTGTAGAAAGTTTAGTTAATCATCCATCCCTTTTACAGGTGTATTATGAAACATTTCTGCATTAAATGTCTAAGAACAACGTAATCCAAATCACAGAAGCTTTTGGCTCTAGAAGATGTTTCACACCTCTAATCCAAGAGGCTTCTTCAGTTCCAACGGACTGATGGGGAGTATGAGACTCGTATTAATGTCGTCACCCAACAAAACCTACAGCTAAAGGCCCATTAATGACCCAAGAATTACATGCCTCCAGGTGTAAAACTACCATGTTACACAACAATGGTTGTGAAACATGCCAGGTGAGGGGTGACTCAGGATGTTAATGGAGATGACACTGCCTGGGGAGGCGTGTCAGGACTGCGTTATAAGTGGTGTTGCAGACCAGAGATGGCTGTTAAGCACCTCCATCTAGAATGTTGACACTGTTGTCTTCAAAGGAGCGTCATTTAAACTTAATGTACACATTGGTGTGGACATAGTTTCTGCCCGTTAGAAAGATTTTCATCAGCAAGGGTGTTAAGAACAACGAGTCCGAGGATCCTGTGCTTCTTCAATGTCATCAAACTATGTCTTTTGTTAGTGTTTTGGTGTAGAGACCCCCAAGGAGCAGCTTCAAACATTTAATGTCTGTTTTTAGATAACCTTTTAAAGGTTTACTCTATTTGTATGCTCACCAAGCCGCTGTTTACCCATTGCTTTAACATTTGTGACCGTATTACTTTCCACTAATTATTTCGACCATGTGTCACTCACTATTAGTAAACTAGTTAAACAGTTTTTTCAAAAGCTATCGGATTCAGCCTTTCATTCCATTCTTCTAGTCAACTATTCCATCATTTTATTAACTACTTGCATTTACCATTACTGCAGTTTTTCCGTATACAGCTGCAGTAGTAGCCAGATTTAACTACCCCCGGCTGGGTCCATTGCATTTAAGGCCTCTCTGCTGTTTTTTTGTTGCCCAGGAGTGCCCTGTTAGGAAAAGTACTGCGCATCGATGTGGATGGATTCGACTCTGGTGGACTTCAGTACAGGATCCCCCCTGATAATCCCTTCATCAGGGACTCAGACGCTCGCCCAGAGGTGTTTGCATACGGCGTCCGAAACATGTGGCGCTGCTCGGTGGACCGAGGAGATCCGGTCAGCCGCTACGGCAGGGGTCGGATATTCTGCGGAGATGTTGGTCAAAACCGCTACGAGGAGATCGACATTATCGAGAAGGGAGGAAACTACGGATGGAGGGCCAAAGAGGGCTTCGAGTGCTATGATCTGAAACTTTGCCAAAACTCGTCCCTGAGTGAGTATTTTCTGTTCTTTTGAATCCTCCCTGGTAATAAAAATAAAAAGGCTGTTTTCTGTCTGTTTGATGCGTTCGCCACCTGTTTTTCTGGCATAATTAACAGTTTTTCCATCTAATTTTGATGCTGCTTCAGATTTCGGGTTAAATTCAGTGCGTCTTTTTCTGCCACAACAGATGACATCCTCCCTATCTTTGCGTACAGCCATCATGTTGGGAAGTCTGTGACAGGGGGATATGTGTACCGGGGATGTGAATCACCCAATCTGAACGGCCTCTACGTTTTTGGAGACTTCATGAGTGGGTAAGACGGTGTTAATCTCTGCCAAAAAAAATTATAAATAAATAAAATAAAAAACTTTAACTTCTGTCAACTTTTCAGGAGGGAATGAAACGCAGACTTGTTTTCTCTGCTTGTTTAGTGAGCTTCATATTGTGCATTTTCGAATTCTCTGAAAAATGTGCATTTTTTTATGAAGTCCCATGAAGGCTGAATAAATATTTTATTTCAAATCAAAGGTTAATTTTTATCAATTACCAAATGGTGTCCTGTGTGCTAATTCTCTAAGAATTCACGAATATCCTTTGAGATTAATAAGGTTCGATGTTATTTTATCTTATCTCCATCACATGCTTTGAATCTTCTACACTGTAAAATTATATAAAACTAAGTCACAATATCTGTCAGAAAATTTTTAATGAGATATTTTCCCCAAATTGATTTGCTCAAATTCTCACCACTCAACCCCCCGAAGCTGACTCAGATGTTTATCTATCTAAAATTTGAGTTGGGTAACGTCTGCATTGATCCACTGATATTTTAAAAGACTACTTGCATAAGTAAAACCACTTAAAACTACTGAATTTAGATTCATATTTAGCATTGAGGCATTAGAACAGTATTTAACTTCCATCCATCCATTATCTATACACCACTTAATCCTCACTAGGGTCATGGGGGGCTGGAGTCTATCCCAGCTGACTCAGGGTGAAGGCAGGGGACACCCTGGACAGGTCACCAGTCTATCACAGGGCTACACTTAGAGACAGACAACCAAGCACACTCACATTCACACCTACAGACAATTTAGAATCACCAATTAACCTCAACATGTTTCTGGACTGTGGGAGGAAGCCGGAGAACCCGGAGAGAACCCACACTGCACGGGGAGAACATGGAGACTCCACGCAGAAAAATCCCGGTGCCCCCACTGGGACGCGAACCGGCAGTATTTAACTTATTTAAGTCAATTATAATAATGTAGATTAGCATATTGGCTGCTTTTTCTTTGTTTAAATGGCAATTTGTAGCAACAGGTCTGTGAAGATTCTCAGTCATCCAGGTCATGGTTATTCTGGTAGATTAATTGTAGCAACTGGACTTGCTTGAGTTCCTTGAAGACCCATATAACGAGGGAGAGGAGCAACACACCCCCAACTGAAACCGAAACTCAAGTGTTCATTGCTCCTTTAGGATATAAGTATCTGGAACTCCCAACTAGTCAGTCAGAACTGATGAAGCTTCTTGGATGAGAGGTGGAACGTCTTCAAGGAACTCAAGCAAGTTGATTAATCCACCAGAGTTTGTAGTAAGAGTAGTCATACAACTGCTAAAAAAACAGATATTTCTTAGAGTTTGTGACGTGGATATTGCGATGTCGATAATATTTTAATCAGCCCTCGTCTACATGGTTTATTAGTTGCTCTTGTATCACCCTCACTAGAATAAAGTTGAGATTAACTATTAATTCCTGCCCTAAACATATTAAACCCATGTTGGTTGGTTGGTTGGTTACAGCATGTCAACACATCAATGATTTCTGTCCGTCTTTCAGTCGAATCATGGCCTTAGAAGAAGACAGAATGACAGGAGTCTGGAAAGAAAGGAGTGTGTGCATGGGCAATAAGAAGACCTGCTCTTTCCCTGGACTCATCAACCATTACCACAAGTTCATCATCTCGTTTGCTGAAGACGAAGCAGGTAAAAGTTGGTTTGCAGCATTTCGCACTGCATTGCATTGATGTAGCACTACTGACGAGCCGTCTCTGTTTTTGCAGGAGAGCTGTATTTTCTGGCAACGACGTACCCGAGTGCCATGTCTCCTTATGGAACAGTGTTTAAATTTATGGACCCTTCGAGGTGCAGTAACAGAAACAACTTGTATTAAAACCATGTGGTGTGCTTTAAAATGATCCTTCTAGATTGCTATCCTAATCCTGCATTTACATGTTGTTAGGTTTAGCAAAGACCTGAGAGCCAACTGGGAAAACAACATCCATATCCTCTATTATACATTAGCAAAACGTAGGATACGTTGGGTCTGATTTCACCCAACAAACTGCAAACAGGAGGCGTGTTTATGTCATACTGAAGCAGTTATTTTCAGGAGTTTGTATTGTAATGTAATAATCTTGAAAGCAGCTGTATGCTCAGTTGTTTTTGATTAGCTACCAACATAAATACTTTGACTTTATTCAATATCTCAGTCTACTCCTCATGTGTATTGGTCCACACCTGCTTGGGGCAATTACTCAAAAAGACTGACATGCTTCTTAAACTGGCTTTCTTCCAAGACACACACACACACACACACACACAAAATGCAGCACGTCATCGTAAATCCCTGCCTGGAGCCACACAAATTTGAGCGTCGCACGGCGGAAAACAAAGGACGATTCTCTTCCTCTTGCATCTTCGTGATCTCTTAATTAGTCTCAAACTGCTATCATAACAACACATGTGAACAGGCTAACAGTTGGCATCCAAACGATGTAGTTTTCATCTAGAGGGGGACTATATACTTAAAACTCTTACCTCCAATCAGGTCTTGGACTGGCTGCATCCATGACTGATGGCCAGACGTTCATTTGAAACAATCCTGACTCTGTGTTTTCATACCTGCTGAACGTAAAGCCGTTGTCAGACAGACAACGAGCGTCCGTAACTACTATGTTTCTTCAGGAATGTGGAAAGGAGTGCTGATTCCTTGAAATGACGCCCTTGCCTTTTTAAAATTACCACTGTTTAACGGGCAGACGGGGTGAAACCATGGACACTGTACTGTAGGCAAAACATTTACGACGCTTGGGAATGCTCGCCTTTAAAAATTGGCTGTTTTACTTGAGCTCAAAACATTTTTTTCTTTACTCTCATTTTGAGGAGTTTTGAAAGACTGGCCTGTGTTGTGGCAGCAACTGACAATTGGACACAACTCTGTCTCACAAAAAGTTTGTTCTTATACAACTAAACTGTTCATTTTGAAAAAACAAAACGTGTTTTCTTTCCAGAAGGTAACATGATGACATACAAAAACGCTTTCTGTTTGAAAAAGTCCGTCTTAGGTGCTTGAAGGGAAGGCGGATGAATAAATCCACTATAGAACTTGTCGGATTTGTGTTCTACGTGGACCATTATTCATTGATTTCAGCTGTGGTTAGACTTACGCATCCACTAGTACTTGTTTCAGAAAGAAAATGTAATAATTTGGTTCTTCTCTATGTTCCAGGTTTACTAGGGAGTCCCACACCTTGTAATATACAACTGGTGGATGAAAAAAGGGCAAATTTTAAGCAGAAGCATGAATGACAGAGATATATTGACTCGAAACACACTTGTGACACGTAGCAAAACAAATGTAATCCAGGAGTAAATACATTTCCTTCAAAATTGAACTTAGAATGTTGTTTAGTTGTACAAAAACGTACTTTTTACAGACAGGACTACATTATCAATACAAATATCTATAGATTACAGATTGCTGGGTAGGTTTCGTGATGAATCAGGGGCACAGCTTTCTATAAAATACTTGCAATGAAGCTTTCTCACACAAAAAATGAAGAAAAGCAACCTTTTGAGGACTAAATTTAACCAGAACTAAATCTTGCATCTGTTTTTTTATGTGGGAGAATCAGTTTTGACAACCATTACATAACTTGTGCGTCTTTCTTTACCTTTATCGTTGTCCTAAAACTTAAAAAAGACCATTTATTACCTTATCAATACCAAATATGAACCGTTAAAGAAACTCTTTTTCATCTTTTGCAGGAGAGCTCCTCCGGGAAAATGCAAGCAGAAGCCGCTCCCTGTCAAAGTGAAGGGCAAGAAGTTTCCATTTGTGCCCAGGGAACGTAAGTCACCTCCACAACCTTTACCTCTGCGTTTTAATCGCTGCATCGACTCATCACTTAATGTCGTTTTTATCATGCACGCATACCAGACTTGTTAAAGAAGCCATTTGAAAGGGAAATTGACTTTGACTCAGCTTGTCTGACGCTGAAACTGTACGTTAAACTGAAATATGTGTGATATGTGAAAACACTTTGGTTTAGTCGAGGTGCGAAAACTATGAGGAACATAAACACGACGTAATTTCAGGCAACATAAACTAATGTTAAAAGTTAAGTGTGAGTTATGCATTAAACGTTTCTGAACAATCTGTTCTGGCAAGCGAACAAATTGCCTACGTTTAGTGTCCTGAGCAGACCTTGCTTTTTTTTTTTTTCTTTCTCTCTCTACATTTCATGCCTATATGCTGCCAGCTTGTATAATCACACTGGGGTCATACATAAAACTATAAAAAGCAGGCTCCCAATTCACATCAAACATAATGAAAATAGAAAGAGCACAAGCATTTCAAACATTTAGGCCTGTTTTTAGAGCCAGATATCCACTCCAAGTTTGTAAAATACAACATAAGTGGCTGCACAGATGAATAAGTAAAATGGTGAAAATGGGTACTTACCGACATCTGTGCCATTTCAGTGACTGTGCTGGACACAAAAGCGAAACCTACGAGACCACCGCCGAGAAAATTCAAGCTCACCACCAAACCGCCAGTGACAAGCAACCAGGTCAAACCCCCGGCGACGACAACGACCGGGGCCAAGATGACAACGGCGAGCAACGTCGTAAAGCTGAAATTAGCCGATAAGGAGGCGAGTGGCAAAAACAAGCTGAAGCCTCAGAAGAAAAACAAAATGCTGAACAAGCAGGAAGCTACGAAACAAATGAAGAGCAAAGCCCCGAGGCCGAAACCCGACAAACCGCCGAAGAAGACGGCAGGGAAAAAGCCCGTCGTGGTCAAAGGTAAAATGAAACCGAAGACAAATCAAACGGAGAATCTGGGCGACGTGAGGACCTCCAACAGCCTGAAGGACAACAAAATCCACACGAAGAGGAAGAGCCCCCCGAGGAAGGCTGCGCTGAAGCAAACTGGACTTAAGGTCAAAATAAAAGCAAAAGAACAGCCTGGCCTCGTGAACAAAACTATGATAAACTTGAATGTAAAAAGCAACAGAACAACGAGGCCCCAGCTGAAGATAAAAAGCAGGCAAACAAGAGATGTGAAAGCACTTTAAAAGATTGTGTTGTGACTGAGACATTATTTAGTACAATTTTGTTTTTGAAACGATCAGTGTTACTTGTTATATCTTAGAGGGATAGTTTGAAGTTTGCTTTTCAGTTGAGAGTTAGATGATAAGATTATTTCCACTTCCTTGTCTGTACAGTAAATATGATGATAGGAAAAAGGGCCTCATAGACAAATCTGCCATCTCGGGCCATTATTTCAGGCTAATATGTCCAATTCTCGATCTGAATGAATGGAAAGAGAGTCATGGCTGCAATTTCGATGGACACTGGGACATTAAAACTTCATGTATAGACTCACTAGTCTGAAAACTGCTGAGAAAGTTTGGTGACTTTTCCCCCCAATAATTTTTTTTTTCTATTTTTGCCCTCAGGTTAGACTTCTGCTATGCACTGTTTCACGACCCAAAGCTTCAATCAATGCACCACTTTTGGCTGAATGCTTCCCAGGTTGGCTGTTACAAAGTCAACGCTTGTCTTTCTTGAGTGGGACATGTCATACAACCATCATATTTAGTGTTACGAAGCTCTCCCAAAGATTTCCCAAAGTGGCGAGGCCCTCCCTGATAATGTCTCCGGTAGTCTGACTCGCCAGACGTTGCCGTAGGGTATAAGTTGGACATATTCAGCCACCGTTTTCAAAACAACAACCTCTGAGTAGCAACCTACACATTGAACATTTTTTGTTTTGCCAAAGATTTGAATCATGCTATAAGGCAGCCCTGCTTTTTAGTTAGCAACTATAATGTCAGCGCTGGTCTTCCTGCATGAAAATGTTCCACTAGAATAGTTCCCCGGGCTTAACATGACTCATGGCAATTATGTTTTATGGCTTAAAAAGTACAAACAACTGCCCCTATAGCAGGATGATATGAAACTATTCTCTAGCACTGTGGCAATAGGTCTGCCTATGAGAGGCTACACATCTGGCTGTAGTCATTTAGCTTAGCATAGCACAAAGAGTGATGGCAAAGGAAAACAGCTCATCAGGATTTCTCCAAAGGTGACAGAATCTAGCCACCAGCATTTTTAAAGCTCACTAACTAATCTTGGTTGGGTAAATTGACTGTACGTAAAGACGGTTGAACCCACCAGGACGTCATCCAGAGGTTTTCAAAAGAGCGTTTTTGGAGCTCTTTGGTGGCGGCTCTGATCTGACCACCAAATAATCCAAAAATGAACAAAGTATTAGAGCGTAAGTCGAGCCAGGCCAACATGTCTGGACCATGAACTGTCCTGTGACGACTTGTCATTTATGACGGCCTTCATTCTGCATGATTGTAGTTCTTAATACAGTTTAAACAAAGTTCCTTACAGTTTTCTACAATTCTTTAATTTCGTTTAGCAGACGCTTTTATCCAAAGCGACGTACATCTGAGAGTAGATACAACACAAGCAAGGATCTAGTCAGGAGAGAACCATCTAGATAAGTGCCATAGAACAAAAACTTTCATGAATTGAGACATTAGCTTAAAAGACCAAAACCTTTTTTGTACCAATTTCTTCTGTAGAGTTGGACATTTTAACATTAGGGTCTATGGGGATTGGCTCAATTTTGGAGCCAGCCTCATGTGGACATTAGGGGAACTGCAGCTTTCAGCATTTCTGCGTAGTCTTCATTTTTCAGCACTGGAGGCTGCAGCTTGAGCCGAGTTTGCAGTTTTCCTCTACTCTCAGTTTTTATGCTAAGCTAAGCTAGCTGTCACCGCACTGTTGCTTTGAATTTACTGTACAGACAGGAAACTTGTATTGATCTTTTTGTCTACCTTCAAAGGAAAAAAAAAAAAGTCTCAAAAATGTCAAACTATTCATTTAGGGTACAAAGCACACAACTGTTGCACGCAATTATGCATGTAATGACACTTCTTCCTTTGCATTTTATTTTTGACTGTCGTAAAACCGCTGGTCCAAGTTAATCACTGCCCTGGCTGTATTTAGAACATATCAAGCAGGTTTGAAGTCTAAATAAGCACAAAACACGCAGAAAAAAAAAAAAAAACTGCTCCTGCTCATGCCAAGGCCCAGTGTGGGTAAATTACTCTAATTTTACAGAACATACAAATGTTAAAAATAAACATTAGAAAGTGTCTGTGTGTCTCCGAAGCTCTCTGTAATTAAACTCCACACTACTGATCATAACTGAAACCGCCGAGACCAGCTTGTGTATAATGACGGCTGTAAACGTAAAGCTGCCCCGACTTCCACGTGCAGTTGTGCACGCTGAGGTCGCATAAATTTCACATTCCAGCATTTTTCTAAGCTGCCAATCTTCATGCCTAAGTTATGCATTTCATAATTCTTGGAAAGCGATGTGCTTTAACTCTGGTGTTTTGACGCTGGCGGGAAAAATGGGTCATCTGGGGATGCAGTGAACGACTACCACGACTGCTTTGTCAATACACAGAATGATAAAACGTTACTACAAACACACCATCTTGTTCAATAAAATTACATAATCTTACTTAAAAAGACACAAAGATGCTGCTATTGTATAAACTTTGGCAATATTGGCTTTCAGACACCGAAAGCTGATGATCTTTGTCTGAAATTGATGAATTTGACCTGTGAACCAGTGAGAGTTGCTGTTTTTTTCTTCCATACTTGCACTCCAGTCTGGATTATGTACATTTAGATCCACTGTAGAGAGGATACAAATGCCATTAATGTGGGTAAAACAGACAATGAATTACTCCTAATATAAATAATTAACCATTTAACTTGTTCACAAGAACACATGATAATCATTGATCAGCCCAATTAAATGCTAGTTTTGCTTGGAAAACTTGGGTCCTGACATTCATGTGGATGTTACTTTGACACATAGCGCCAACCTTAACTTTGCAACTCAACAAAAACTGCTCGAGGAACACAATCAAGAGCCATCCCATCTGCCAAATTCCCAAGATCCCAATCTGTTCGAGCATTTGTGGGATGCCCTAGAACAATCTAGATCCACAGACACTCCCCCCCCCCTCAACCCACAAGACCCAAAAGATCCACTGCCATCGTCCCCAGAGGTCCCATGTCCATGATCCCATCTGATCAGGGCTGTTTGGAGGAGCTACACAATATTAGACAGCTGGTTTTAATGTTGAGGTGTTTCTCAGCTGCAGGTCAGACAGACTGAAGCAGGCAAGTGAACTAGGAACTAATTCTTCTTCACAATGACAGCCGGCTAAAGGCAAACATGGTCTCAATGGTGAAGGGAGACACCAAAAGTATATAGAGGGAGGACAAATAGACTGCTGGCATGCACAAGACAAAAGAAATCACAACTAAATTCTATTTAACTGGCAGAAGCGCAGAGTTTTTGACAGCAAAAAAACAAACTTGATAAACTACATGAACGGCCACCAAGAAACCAGAAACTGCAATTAATTAAAAGCCAACATAAAGCAGCTCTGAATGAAGACTTAATTATTAGAGGCAGAACAGTTTACTAAGCAGAACATGAATATGGAAAATGTTTGTTTGTTTTTGTAATTCTACAACAAGTAGAATTTAACATAATCTGCAGTTATTTATTCAAATATCTGCATCATATTTGCTGCCATGTTCTGGAAACATCTACTAAAGAAACGGCAGCCAGGATGTGCATCAGCATCTGGAATGTATTTGACTTCATATCCTGATGTTTGGAGCTTTAGATTTGGCAAATCCTGCCAACGGTGCTGAACAATCTAAAGACAAACATTCACTGCAAGAGTCGAGCTTAGTTTGCAAAAGGATGTAATTATGTCACCCAATGACTAACAATCACTTCCGTTCTCCTTTTGCTTTTTACAGAAAATGCAAATTCTGTGACTAATTTTATCAGTTGCATATTCTTAAACTCAACTGGAGTCAATTTAATGTGGAAAAAAAAAATTACTCTGTTTTTAAAGTGATTACATTTTTAAATCGGATCAAATATAAGATAATATCGTTTAATCTCATGTCAATCCTCATAGATTCCACTGTAATCACCTGCACTATATATAAACACTGTAGACACATTTCTTCAGCACTCTTCAGTGATTCATAAAGGATAATAAAGCTAATAATCCTCCTAAGCCATGATCATTGTTCTATGAGGTGAAATGCTTGCACAGCATGCTAATATTTTGCAGGATTCATGTTAGTTTAGCAGTGTTAGCATGCTAACATTTTTTTATTTTGCACTAAGTACAACTGAGCATGATTTGGAAACCCAAAGGATTTGCAGGTGTCTGGTCATGAAACCACAGTCAAAGAAAAAGTCACAAGTTCAATAAAATGGATCATGAATATGTGACAAACCACAGATCGAAGTGATGGACAGTTAACCATACCGTCATAAACCACCAGACATAAAGACACAATCAGTGTTTGGGAAGGAAGCATAAAATTGTTGAATCAAGGCAAAATCTAACTGCTGGAAAATCAAAAAACTAAAAAGCTATCATCGACGGCACCTTCTTTTCGGGAAGGAACTCAAATCATACTTTCTAAAGCGTCAGTGAAGTCATTTTGTGGCCTTGCAGGCTTCAGTTTTGCGAGTATCATGTTAATTTAACGGTGTTAGCATGCTAACATTTGTTATTTAGCACCAAGTACAGGGAGGATTATTTGGAAGGCCAATAGTTTTGCAGTTATATTATCTTAAACCAACATCAGACAAAGAACAAGTCACAAGTTCAATTGATTTACTCTTTATAAGGATGATGAATATCTGACAAACTGTACATCAAAGTGCTGGATCGCTAACTGACACGGTTAAAGATACAATTGGTGGTAGGGCAGAAAGCATGAAATGATTGAATTATGGCAAAAATAGCCTGCTGGAAAAACAAAAATAAATAAATAAATAAATAAGCTATCATTGATTACACCTACTTTTTTGAGGGAACTCAAATCATATTTTGCATAGCTTCAATGAAGTCATTTTGTGGCCTTACAGGCTTCAATTTTACAGACATTGTGTTATTTTAATGGTATTAGCATGCTAACATTTGTTATTTAGCACTAGTTT